AGCGCTTAACGGTACATTATTTCTTTATAAAGTATGTGTGTGCTGAGTTTTCTGCACAGCAACCCAAACAACTTTTGTGCTTAGAGATAGATAAGCTCTTTGCCTTTTCCATTTACCATTTACTGCCAAATAATTGGCAACTGCTAGAAATTTATGACAACAACAGCAACAACTGAATAACTAAATCGCCTTAATGTGTATTAACTGTGTTTATTTATTTATTTTCTTTGTATGCTGTTATCAATTTCCTGTTGAAACTATTTTGGTGGGCAGCACTGTTCCTCTACTTCACTTCACTCCACTCTACTCTACTCCACTGTATTCATTTCGCTTCGATTTTATTCTGACATTTTGTCAAGTATTAGGTAAACGTATCGCAAACTTATTAGCACATTGATTAACTTAATTCAATTATCAAAATCGTCTATGTACGTCATCTACAGTTCGTTCCTATACCAGGTTCCTATCTCAAGTCACCAAATCACGTACTGTATGTACGTACATACTATGAATTTGTATATTTCGATTGTAATTGTTGTTGCTGTTTTCAAAATTTGACGAAGAAGCTTCTTAGTGTTAACGTCATATCTGATTCTGATGCTTTCAATTTCTATTTATTGTGTGCTGATATCTCTTTTGGTTGATTTCCGATCACATCAAATATATTGCCAAAAAGTTCATTCGCTATTTCGTATTGGCACTTTAAATTAAAGCTTTCTTCAAATGTAGATTAATTTAATTGACAGTCTTCACATATACTTACTTAACGTATATACATATGTATCGGCATTCTACAAGTTAATACGAAGTGATGTTTCATTTTATCGGCCTCCAGAAAACACTGAGACAACTCTTATCCATCAAATTTAAGTTCATGTTCTATAACGAAGTAATGACAATATTGAATAATACATCTGAATATAAAGGAGAACTGTATCGCAAACGGGTTGGTCACAGAGGGAACAACTGCATATTCCTTCTGATGGAAAGAAGAAAGAAATCGCTAGTTTTCTTTAGGCTTCTGGGAGAAGACAGATAATGTGTACGAGCAAGGGTGGCATAGTCTTCCTTAAATAGCAATAAGAACCACAGCACTTTTAAAACTAAAAAGGTTTATGCTCTACACTGTCGTGGGGGTACTTTAGGTCACTGTTGGGTGGATTGACACACCGCCAGACTTGTCATCCCTATCAATATTTTCCGCAGAAGCTGCAGAGATAGGGAAGCGTAATTATTCTTAGCAAAGTCAGGTTCTTAGCTTTTGGCAAGTCTGTCTAAAAGGTCTCGCAGGGAACACTGAAGATTGTCAAATTAGCTAAAGTTCATTCCTAGTTTCGGGTGGTTGTCGATTTCGTTATTTGTTGACGCTCGGTTGGTAACAATATTGTAAAAATACGTATAACTATGTAGGCCTAGATGTTGATACACAAAAACATTTTGGCTGTCGATATAGAGGTGTAAACCCTGCCAATTCAATATTCTCCATTTATTTTTTAATGGGTTGAACATAGCTGCCTAGCATCGACGAGGACGCTGCGAATACTAAAAAGTTTACTGATTCTCCATGAGTATTTGGGATTAGATTGTTACAGTTAGCATAAGAACCAACTAAGATACTCTTGACATTATAAATTAAATGTGAAATTTTAATCAGAGGACGTAAAAAGTGAACTTTAGGTAAGATGGGAACAGGTGATTCGATGAAACTATTGTTCCATCGACTGGGAACATTAAAACTATCTCTTGTATGTTGAAAATCATTAGCTTATCAAAAATGTTTGACATATTTATAGCCTGTACCCTTTGGCTATACTAGTTTTGTGCGAATGTATGTTACAGGCAGAAGGAGGCGTGGCAGACCCCACAAAGTATATATATTCTTGATCAGGATGACAAGGCGAGTCGATATAGCCGTGTCCGTCTGTCCATCCGTCCGTCCATCTGTATGAGCGCAAGGATCTCAGGAAGTACAAGAGCAAGAATAACCAAACTCGGTATCCAGATTCTGCTAAGTGCGAGAAAGGACGAGTTTGTGTTTTTTTTTCTGATGCACCCCCCCACTCCCCCGCAATTCGCGTTTTTCCCATAATTACCGTAACTCCCGTATTTCTTGGAATTTTGTACTGACATTTGCAAATACATCCATACATATAGTAATTACGTGTCTGTGATATGATAGGTTAATAAACATAATCTCTGCCCAAGCTCTGCCGGCAAAGGTTGCTGCTTTGACTTATTTTTTTTTACTGCATACAAGCACGCATAGACACGATTGTGATGTAAATCTATGCTGTTGAAATTGTACATAAACTCTTATGTCTGTATGCACGTGTTAAATATTTTATAATTAATTTAATTAATTAATTATTATTATTATTATTTTTTTGAGTAGTGCTACAGGGTATTTAAGAATTGAGCCCGCTCGACCTTAGCATTCTTTTCTTGATTCTATTAACTAGTTGATATGACCTCTGACCTGAATCACTTTATAAAAGTAAATTTGAACTTCTTTTAGAGTAATAGAGTGCTAAAAAGTTAGATGTAAATAGTTGATATAGTATTTAAATTATGATACTGCAGTTATTCCCATTACCAGCAGTGCCTGCCCCTCCCTTCCTGCCCCCATCTCTTATTAAGCTGGGTCAGGGTAACATTTGCAGTCTGCTGCGGTATTTTTGCAGCTGCAACTTCAGAGCCCTCATATAGCACACTTTGTTGTTGTTTTTTGTTGCTTTTGTTTTACCTCACACGAACGACGACGACGTCGTCGTCATGCCTCTGAAGTGGGACTTCACATTGCCTTGCGTTGAAGCGTGACGCTGGCAATGTTGCAACTACTTACTACTTAGTTGGCTAGTCTGTGGCCCGACATTGAACTGAATTGGAGTAGCTAGTGAGCATTATTTCGTGAATTCATTCGTCACTCCCACCTCTCTCTGTCATAATCGAATTGCCAGTCTATAATATTGAAGGAACACAATAGCATTTGTTTAACTCCAAACCACACACTTTTTATGATGTTATTATATTTTATTTTTGTTTTTTTGCACACTTCATCAAATGTCGTGGCGAGCTGAGGGCCCAACTCAGTGAATGAGTGAGTCACCCACTTGAACGTTCCGCTCGAGCAACAACCCATAGACGTCTGTCTCATATATGTATACTATAGTATTATATAGTATAGTAGTCAGAAAGTCGAGTCGGTCGGCAATTCTTGGCTTGCCTTTGTTCCGCAGAGTTGGTGTGACTGTTGCCTGTTTAAGAATGCATAAAATAAATACAAGCTAACTAACTTTTGTGTCATTGTCCTTTGGCGTTATTGGCGTGTTATTGTTGTTGTTGTTGCCTTTCCTAGGCCGTAAGTTGTTAACTGCTGCTGGTTGACTGTTTTTAGAAAAAATGCCATGTGTGTTGCGCTATTTTTGTGACGCTTCATATACCACTGAGTGGGGAGGAACTTATGGTTGTTGCCCAGGAATTTATCTACGAAAAGTTTATTGGCCTTTGTGCCCAAGAACCCTTAAATAAAATATGGCAAATATGTAAAACGTTTCCTGGAGTGCGGAATTGGATTAGGATCAAACAAATTGGAAAAAATACCGTTAGCATGAGACCCAACTAAGGTACTCTTGACATTATAAATTAAATGTGAAATTAGAGGACGTATGGAAAAAAGTGATCTTTAGGTAAGATGTTGGTCAAAAGAGAACGAATCTCAGTAAAGAACTAATTAAAGTTGTAAAACTATAGCTGTACTTAGGGGACCATCAATAGTGTTGAATCTGTAAAGCTTTAAAGGAAAAATTTCCAAACGGAATTAAATTTACTATATTGATAGTACTTACTATATATCTCGATCGTTCAATTAGGAACTATCGATAATCGATATACCTTTAATGTTAAGAAAAAATTGTTATTACGGATATAATATAATATAAAAATAGAACCGTGTAGGGTGCTGTGAAAAGTGCATTTTGCAGGAAAAAAGTATGAATGTAAAGTCCAAGGGAATTGGATATTAGATAATTGAGATAATCGTATGATTAGGCTATAAAATATGTATTAAGAGAAATCAAAACTATTAAATTTTCTAGATTTTAAAGTTAGACTGCCGAGTATTTTGAGCTGTGAAAGATGTAGCATAGATAAGTTTTAGCGAATTCTTATAATTTTTAAGAATTATTAACTCAAACCTATTTCAAAATGAAACATCGAAGTCTTTCTGTTTTAAATAATTTTTCTCTAATATAGTTGATTAACATTTGGGACTCCTTCTAAAGTATTTTGTTACAATTACTTAAAAAACTCAACACTTTCTAAACAACAATAAATCCTTTGTTTTTGAAAACTCCCAAGGAAAATGGACAAATAGTTTTGATCAAGGCAACCCTCGCCCTCAAAATTCCTTTTTCTCCAAAATGGAAAATACAATTTCCGCTCCGGGGTAAACAAATCAACAAGCCAGTCATACAAAACAAACCGGTCATCAAAATGGAATAATTCTTAAGATTTTAAATAAAATGCAAACCTAGTTTACGAAGGGATACGTTTTGCAATGCCGCTTCTCAGAGCCAACGGCGTGCCAGGGGCTCTCCAGTCTGTGATTCTCGATCAGAGAGATATGTGAAAAAACTCAGTATACAATACTTTTTCTGGCTTTCAAAATTGAATGTTGCATAAAAATACTTTTTATAACAAATAGAAATGGGCAAGAGAGCACGTTACAGAAGAACAGAGTGCGTTGAACATTTCCAATACAACCATATATTCAAGTTTACAGTCTATCCCTTTTATTGTTCCATACCTTATCGTATATTATTTTATTAGTTTAGTTAAAAATTCGTTTTTATTGTGAGGCCACAGTTCGTTGAACAAGTTAAAAACCTATTTCAGGTTGTTGCACATTCCACACATACAAGTAGTACTATCTATATACATACTATATGCAATGAAACAACTAATCGAATCACCAATTTCCCTCTCATTCCTTCTCGTTTCAGTGGCGGTGGTCCGCAAACGACAACTGCCGGTCCATCAGCTGGTAATGTGGCAAATGCTGCAGCGCTTGCCGGTGGTAAAAGTTCAAGCAATAATATGTATTCCACCCGCCAATCTGTAAGCACCACAACCGGTGTACTTATGGTCGGACCAAATTTTCGTGTCGGTAAAAAAATTGGCTGTGGTAATTTTGGCGAATTGCGTTTAGGTAAGTAATCACTACAAGTTAACCATTGCAGGATTAATCGACACGAATCTCTACACTGTGATTTGATATTGGGATAAAATGTGTTTTAAGCTATTTCGCAGAGATAATTTCCGATTTATAAAGCATACCATGTGGTAATATAAAGACTTCTTAATGTGCCTTCTTGTACTGCTTTTATGACAATTTTGGACTAGTGAGAGCATTATACAAACTTATCCCGGGAATAAGATTTTCAGGGGTTACATAAAATATTTTATTCCCTATATGAGAAGAAAGATATCAATGTGTAGAGGGTACACAGAAGTCAGAGTAATGGAATTTTCAAAACTTAAAAGTCATTTCATTTTCCACTACTCAATTGTTAACTTTTAAACCCGCAGAAACTCTAATGTGCAACTAGAAAATACAAATTTCACGAGGTTTCTATTATCCATTGAAAAGATTGTGAAGATATGGTTTATTGTTTTCCATTAAATGTCAGACAGGCTATTTGTGTAGAATCGAAATTTGATTAGGCATTCCACTAGTATACTACAAACTACTTTTGGAACCCAATGGAAATGGGAAATTTTGACAATTTCTATTCCACACATTTGAATCGAATGCGGAAACGGGAAAGCCCTCAGAAATATTGGAAAGGAATGCAAAAATATACGAAAGGTTCTATATTTTTCTTTAGTAAGTTACAATTCAAAAAATAAATATAGAAACAGATTGGAAACCTGATAAGCAAGTGCTGTAGTCGTAGAATATGTTCCCATTTCCGAATTTGATCCATTTGGCTTTAAATGTGTTGAATTCCGAAAAGAGTTGTTCTTTGAATTGAATTTGTCTTCACTGGTGATTTTGATGTTCACTTCTAAAGCTCAATAGGTTTGTGATCACATTGCAATTACGATTCCGCACAATTCAGTTGATTTTCAATAGGCGGCGGAAAACCTTTTTGGAAAGGAATACACCTAATTCTGTTTTTACACGGTAGATTGGTTCCAGAAAAAGTCGTGTAAAAGAAAACCGTGTAAGAAAAGACATTGACTATATTTTCAAAAAAAAACAGTAAAAACAGAATTAGGTGTATATGTATGTAGTATATAGAATTTCTTAATGAAATACCTTTAAAAAAGTATAAATATGTTTGCGATATAGTAAGGAATCATTATATGTGATATCAAGATTTTGAAAAATGCATCTTAATGCGTTAAGTCATATAAGTATGAGGGCAGTGGGTCAAGTTTTGTCCGTTTATATCAGTCACTATCAGCCATCTCCTCTTGCATATCATTAGCCATTTATTTTTGACAACATTTATATGTTCTGCCCTCTCTCTCTCTCTTTCTCTCTCCAAGTCCACCCTTTCACTCCTCCACCCCCTTTCTCCGACTGTCTGTCGACAAGCGTTTGTGTTGCCAACGCCAAAATAGCTGTAAATACGTCGTAAATTATGTTTATGACTCAAAGCCAAGTTTATTTTTTTCTGCTCATTCTCTGCTTGCTTGTTGGCATGTAAGCGACTGCGTCGACGACGACGTCGGCGTCACTGCAACAACCAAGCCAACAGCGCAGTGTGTATTTTTGGTAGCCATTTGCGTATTGCTTCCTTTTAGTGTGCATTCCTTTTCATGCTGCCAACAACAACAGCACCAACAACAACGACAACAGCAAGCAGACCGCAATGAGAACTTTTTTTCTTACAATACATACAACAACAACATCGTCGACGACAACAACAAAATGCCATTCCATTCCGCCATCTGTTTTGTTCAAGTCGCCACTTTTGCTTTGTTTGCTAAATGCGCTTTTATAAACCTTTTTTATATATGTATATAGTACATATATACAAGTACATACATACATACATATGTATACTATATGTACATGTATGTATATTTGTTGTATTTTTCTTTAGCTGCTTCGCCCTTTTTCAGTTTTCTCACTTCCTTTGTGTGCTCCCCTCTCTTATAATTTGCATATGCTTTGCTTGTTGCTGTTGTTGTTATTTTTGTTGGAGCTATTGTGCAAAATTCCTTGTGTACAAATTCTTATTGTCATGTGCTCGCTGTTGCCAACAGGTAGCTGCACAGTGCTGCTAAAACTGTTTACAGCAGCGGCTTCACACATACAAGTACAGCATATACATGCAAACAATAATCCAAGCACGTTTACAGCGGTTCTGAAAAGTAAATGAACTTTTGTGGTGGGCTTAAACAAAATTAAAAATAGACAAAAATAAAAACGCTCTTTAATTGCTGTATTGTTATTGTAGTAGTAGTAGTGGTTGTTGTTGTTCTTAATGAAACATTACTTGGTAGGAAGAGTCGTTGTTGCAACTCATTGACAGACAGTTGCGAAATTTTTTATGTTTTGCAAGTCGAGTGTGTGAGTGGGGTTCGAGTGTTGAAGACCCCCTTCTGCTGCTATACGTTGATCTTGGAAAGCAAAACCTTACTTCGTCTTTAGTTTCTTCTACGTCCGAGTTCTTAAGTTTTTGTTGTTGTTGGGTTGATGGCCGGTACGAAGTGCGTCTGAACGGTGAAATTTTAGAAACGGAACCGTCAAAGTTACAATTGCACGTAATTAGCTGAGACAGTATCGGGGCCAAAAAGGTTATTCACAATTTTAGCCGCCTTAGTTGCATTATCTGACTTATCAGGAATTGATAGAGGACATCTGATTAGAGGGAAATACCGCATTTTATTAAAGTTGACTGATAAAAAAAAATTGACTTTTTTTCCTACCATTTTGCAGTCTAATAGAAAAGTGGCTAGATTGTAATTTCGAAACCACTGTGCATTTCGTTTCGCACACATTGCTTGCCGATTTGCCGATCGTGTCCAATTGATTAAGCCGCGCTTTGTCTTGGGGGGTTTTCTTTGTTTGTGGCTCAGAGCGCAGAGCTCGAAGGTGCTGCGTCACAATTGTTTGTCGACTGTCGACGCTGAGATCTGAGATCTATAAGCTCTAAGCTGATGTTATTGTTGTAGCTATAGTATTGTTGTTGTTGCTGTCAACCAACACACGATCTTTGCAATTTGAAAATTGTCGTCGTTTTATGTGGTTTTGGATCCAATTTTATGTGTTTTTATTTATTTGCTTGCGCTTGTTAATTTGTAGTTCGTTTTGGCGCGCGAGCTTTTTTGTATTCATTTGTTTGTTTTGTGCCGCTGATAAATGTACGATGATTCATGCCATTCCAAGAGTTATAAACAATTTGGTTTTATTTTTCATTGCAAACAATTAACCCGCATTTCTTTGTTTGGCTTTCGTTATTTATACGAATTATAAAGTATTTTCTTAGGAAAATATCACAATCACAGAACGTCGGGGAAGTCGGGGATGAAGTGAATGGTGGTTTTATAAAAAAAATCCCATTTCATTGAATTATGAATGAAACATTTCATAAATAGCGAATACATATTGGAATGAAAATTACAACTTTTTGTGAATTGTCGCTGCTTAGCAGAGTTGTTGTGTTGAAGGCAATTTACAGTTTTAAATGCACTGCCACTTCTCGGTAACAGAGCGCTGTTAAGTTTTCTGTTAAGCGCTTCACATGTGCGCAATTGAATTCTTTCTCTTCTTTTTTCAACGCAACAACTAAACACAAATTTTGCTGTGCTGCTGATATTTATTTTAATGACGTTCCAACGTCAAGTTCTGTGACGTCATTTTTATTAATTGCTATCGACAGCAACGATAAATTGTTATTTTTGGATTTGTTGTCGCGCATTTTATAAATTTTTCCTTTATATAAAAATATGCACATACATACATATTTGTATTTGTTAAAAGTGACATAATTTTTATGCTTGGGGCTAGACCCGCCCACATTTTATTTTCGTTTTTGTTTTTATTGTTTTGCATTTCTCTCGCATATGTATTGTTTGTTGTGTTTTTTTTGTTTATAGCAATTGCCCAATTTCGAAAGAAAATTTTGATTTATATAAATAGCAACAATAGAGAAACCACATTGTTGAAGCATCAGAAGCAGGGCATGAGGAAGCCGCACTAAATTTTAAGTCTGCATGTTGCTTGGTGGTTGCCTCGATTAGTATTTTTTTCTTATTGCTGCATTGACTTTTTTTTATTAAATGTTTTCTCAGCCATTTTTATGGGCGGTTTGCGTGGGCGTTTGCTATTCGATTTGAAAATTTGTTTTATTTTTTCAACACAACGCCCTACGCCATTGAAGAAGAAGAGGCAGAAGATACTTTTATAAATTAGGGCTTGGCCTAATTGGAAATAACAAATCATTTCTTTGTTTATTACTGCAAAGAGTTGATTTTTTTTACTATAATTTTGTTTAAAGCATACGCCAATATTACGTTAGGTCATGAATAGTGTGTTTATAAACATTTTGCAGTTTTTAACGCATGTAGTTTGAATTTCGTGAAATATATTGTGTTGATAGAGTTCTGAATAAGTTTGTAGATGTTTTAGAAAGCAAGTCAATCATACTGGATATATTATTATAACATTCTAACGTGCTTATATATTTATATTGATCGGGGCTTTCCACTAGCAACCATTACTCTGTTATTTGCTGAACTTAAATGTGGGCGTTCAAGCACCGAAGATCGTTCTGGATATTGGACTGACATCTTTAAAAAACATTTAAAATATCCATTAAAAAAATGGATGCCCATCTTTAATCATACTCCACAGGAGTTTTTGTTTCGTTTTATAACGTGGGTCTATCAATGTATTCCCAAGTCCAACAGCTCGGGTCCTTCGAAAGCGCGGAAGGGCTCAATAGTAATTCGGTGAGGTTTTGGCCAAAACACTTAAAAGTGGAAATACCTATGTATGCTGAAGAATAGAAGGGAATTTTAAGGGGGAAATTACGAATATTTTCATCGACAGTCTCGGAAGTTTTCAATTGATGTAATTATAACATCTTACTAGTCTAGGGGGAAAAGGTATTTAAAATAGTTTATTTCATTTTATCGCAAACACTTATTTCACTGTAATAAATGATAAAAATGATTACACATTAATCATTGAGTACTCATTTTAGGCAACAACGACATATTGCTTAATAGCAGCCAAAATGTGAAATCTTTTAACATCTCTATGTTTAAAGAGTTTTCTTCGTCTACGCAAATACACTATTTGATTAATAAGAATTTCTTTCAGTAAATTTGGTTTGTTTGTGGGAATTTGCGTTTCAGCGTAAAACATTAAGCGATTTGCGTTCTTAGCTTTACACAATTCCAATAAAATACATATGCATATCAGATGTATACACACATGTTCATAAAAATGTATCTGTGTGTGTGTGTGTGTGTCTGTGTGTGTAGTTTCCCACACAGACAGAAAACACTCCAAAAACATTTGAAAAAGGCATTGCGCGTACTTTTTTTTGCATTCGTAAACATTTAAAATTCATTGCCAGCAGCCGCCACAAGTCAGACCTAATGACGACAACTACAACAAAACATAAATAAATAAATACATATAGCAATTAGAATTATAGGGGGCAGCGTATTTTGTTTATGTGTGGAATTTCTGTATTTCTTTTGCTGTTTTTTATTTTTATTATTTTAATGGCAAACAAATGACAAGTTGTGTTGATGGGTTGAAGGGGGTTGGTTACATACGAGTAGATATTGTAGTATAATTTTACAACTGCTTTTGTTACAGTGGGCTCTAAATACAGCACAACACATGGAAAACATAGGAATGTCTTAAGATTTTAGTAAAGTTTGATATCTTTCTAAAGGAAACACTTCTACTTAATTGTTGCATCAGTTTACTTGAATTATTAAATTTGCCACCATCAAAAGTATCTTGAACAATATATGAGACACCCCTTTATTTTAAAACTATTTGAAATGAATAAGCAGTGATTGATAAAAGTAAATCTGGTCTATATTAATAAAGAAACAAACTGTTTACAGCTTAAACTATCGTCCCTTATTTGTATGAGTTGTGCTGCAAAAGTGTTTGAAAGAAAAAAAAAAAAAATAGCGTACACGTTTGATTATAAGTGCTACGGTCAGACGCGCAAATAATTTGCACACAAACTCAATTTTAAAAGTAAATTATTCAGTTAATTACGAGAATTTTCAAAGACTTGCATTAACGACTTTTGAAGTAACAGAGTACCATAATTTGAAATATTAATTTTGTATCGTCGTTTGTCAAGTCCAATTCATAATTTCTGGCAACACGTTTGAAAGTTTACTTTTATAAAATCTATCGAGGCGGAGTTAAATTAAAAGAATAATTTAATAGTGGACCATTTCTTGCAGCATTTTTAAAGACTTGTATTAACGACTTTTGAAGTAACAGAGTTCCATAATTTGAAATATTAATTCTTTATCGTCAGTTGTCAAGTCAAATTCATATTTTCTGGCAACACTTACTTTTGAAAATATGGCCGCACTGCCAAAAGCGCAACTGTGAGTTAATTTAAGCAATGTCTTTGTTGATGATTGCTTCGCATAATCGTAATAACTGTTGCTGCAATGCATTGTTGTTGATTTCGTCGAAGGCCCACTGTATGCATATTATATGTACATACATATTTAGTCATACATACACACATACACAAGTGTTTTCCTCATTGTAATCATGTAAGTCATGAATCTGATTATGTGCAGTGCTGCCCCGTGCCGTTCCGAATATGTTTGTGTTTGTTTTCGTTTGCCTTCGATGATTCTATCAGTGCCTCAATGCTATGTACGTACAAAAGCCGTGTGTCATGTTTGTTGCAATTCCAGGGCCATTGATAAGTAAGCCTCACTTTCTCCCCCTCTCCTCTTCCCCCTCTTGGCTCTCATTTGGTTGTCAAAATACAGACATGACATAATTTCGCACATGAATGCATCGAATTTAACGAAATTTCTTTAAAGAAAATCTCAATTTTTGTTTTCTTCTTCTACCACCCCTTTCACCTCCTTCCCTTTTGTAACCATCGACATGGTCGGGCGGGCAGGACGACGAATGTGTTGCTTTGGAGGTGCCGCCGCCGGTCGTACCTCAGATAATGTCACAGGTAGGGGCAGGACTGGCAAGAAAAAAGCTTGAATGCTGCATGCAGTTTCCAGAGCATGTGTGTCCTCTGTGTGTCCAGGAAATTGCGTTATGAAGTCTCGCTTTGTTGTTATATTCAGATATTTGAGGCATGATGTAATGGGTTGGTTGGGTTATATGTATTTTGAATTGCCTTACAATTTTCTAAATATCTGAAAACTAATCGATTTCCCATTCTGTTTCTCTTTTACAGGCAAAAATCTTTACAACAATGAACATGTAGCAATAAAAATGGAGCCTATGAAGTCAAAGGCTCCACAACTACACTTAGAGTATAGGTTTTATAAACTATTAGGATCACATGGTATGTTGAAATAATTATTATAATTGTACCTACTATATAAAGGAAATGTCCCAAAACCTCCACCACCCAACCACTACTAATAAGAAAAATAATACTAATACAGCTCCCAAAAATAATTACCGAACATTCGGTGCCTGTACCAAAATTATAAAAGGACTTTCAAAGTCAATGTAATTTAATTTTACCCACGCCCGCCCGTCCTACGACTAAATTACTAACCAACTATCAAGTTTTGCACCGTTACCACCTTCATTAGATTGAACAAACAATTCAATAATATATCTAAATCATATGGCGTATAACACTTAAAATATATATAGTAAGTGCTATATTATTATATTTATTTCGAAGATGATGATTAAGAGCGAAAACAGTAATAGATTTTCTCAAGCATAATTCGGAGGTCGGTGCGTGAAGTAAATTGTGTTACAAAACAAAAAAGTAAAGAACTTTTTGTATATGGTATTGCTATATATAATATTACCCTCTTTACTACATTCCCACATGCAACTGTTAGACAGAAGAAAACAATATTATTTATTGCTCTACATAATATAAATGCTGATTTTTGAAAAAATCTTTTGACATTTTTACGTTTTTCTTTCGCCCGTTCTATTTTTTGTTATTTATATTGCTCTGTTCCTCCATACCACCATCAACAACACCAAAATCGCTTTGAATTGAATTCGAAAACGATATCGAAAATGAATACGAAAACGCAAAATCCAATAATCATATGAATGATGCAATTTAAAAACCAAACCGAATACCAAATCAAAACTGACCATCAATCGTGCCTCCCGATGCTGCAATCAACCACAACCTACAACCTCGACAACAACAACTCAACTCAACTACGCTTGTATAACCCATTATGATGGCATGGCAAACATACCTCGAACCCTGGATTTGAATGTATATAATATACCTATATTTGAATTGTGCGTGTAAAGCCGATAGCGCCCCAGATGGCATACCACGCATTTATCATTTGGGCACATGCGGTGGCCGTTATAATGCCATGGTTTTAGAGTTATTGGGATTATCATTAGAAGATCTCTTCAATATTTGCTCCCGTAAATTTTCACTTAAGACTGTATTGATGATAGCGAAACAACTTGTAAGTTTGACCAACAACTGAAAATCAATCCACACAACACCTGTTTACGAACTTACGCGGATTTCACAAAGAATATTTCGATTTCCAAATATCATTTTTCCACTGTAATACGTTTGTAATACATCTATTATGTATTACAGTTATGTGTAAAAAAAAAAAACTACCTCAGCTATTTCGTAGCTTTAGACTCTGGCAACACTAATCCATTGCGCAAGTGGTATTTCAAGATAAATCACTGTGAATATAGTCACTTATAACAGTTTTAACGCACCTTTTAAAAATCTGCTTCACCAGATAACTGCTTCTGATGTATGACAGATTCATAGCCTAACACCGTGACATCACAATTGCACTTCAAATAGGTGTCCGAAAATTGCTTTCAGCTGTATAACAGTTATTTGTTTACAATCTCATATGTATATTTTAATGACGAAGTACACTGAATGTAGAAACAACAGTTTTGTTTTGTCCTCTCTCTAACAGTTTCGTAGAGATGCACCCTAGAAACACTGCATATGCCATTCAGTTGTCTGTTGAATAATCCCTTTCGGCTAGATGTCAAAGTGAGTTAATGACGTAGCGTATTACAGTTTAAGCACATACACGTCATAATGTCTAATATATGACAGACAGTTGTACATAATAAGCAACAATCCCATATATTACGTTCTCTGTAGTATAGAAGTATTCCACAAATCTTCCGCACAATGTGAAATCCGTGAATTTCGTTTACTTATTCTATAATTGAGTTTTGTTTGTATAAATAAAGTGTCTCAACAGCTTAAAGTTTTCGATAAGTCGGCGCCCACGTATTATTTTGTCTCTATAAACACAATGAACGTTAGAGAAGTTTTTTTTTTGTTTGTTTTCGTAGTTTAAATTAAAATGAAGTCTGCCAACTAATGAAAAAATGAATATGTTGTAGTTTAAACTATTTATTATATATATCTAAATTATTATTTTTTAACGTAGCTTCTTTAAAAAGTGTATTGTAAACGTCCTACAAAGAAAACGTTCCTTAAAAAAAGCAACGCATGTAAAAGAAAAGCGTTCTTGTCATTAGGCGAACTACACTTTATGTAAATAAATGATAAACTATTCCTTTCCAACATAAACAATATATACATACTATTTCCATAAGTATACAAAACAAAACCACAAAGCATTTTTATAACAGTTTCGTTACTTACCATAATTTAGTTGCTGTTTTGATTTGTTTTCGTAAAGAAACTTCTGTATGCGCTCTATGATTTTTAACTAACTACTAACACAACTCAAAAGAATATTTATAAATACGCAAGTGTCCTTCAAGATAAATCTAATAAGCAATAGCAACACATAACTGTTATACATATGTTAATGTTAAGTTTGCCGTGCAAAAGCAATTCGTTTCCAAAAAGGAAAAAGAAATGAGTTCGCTTTTAACAGCTTCTATATTAGCCTTAAGTGTTATACAAACCACAGCTTAGCACTGTTATACAAAATGTGATCCACAAACTCCCGAGTGTATACGATACAGTTATAGCTTCGATTAGAAGTCAAACAGGAGGGCATATTGAGGAAAAAAGCGGTGTGCGTTTTGAGTTGGTCGTAACAGGCTTCCTTGTATATGCTTCGAGAATTTCTATTTTTGTTGTTCTTGTTGTTCATAGCACAGTTTTACTGTAAAATGAATATATATATATACTATAAAACAAAAACTGAAAAATGCAAAAATAATAAGAAAGGTGGTAATATACGTAAGACGCGCTAAACTAACCTCCATGAGTCGTTTATGCATATATAATATACATATATGTCTCAATCGCTCTCTCTCTCTCCCTTTCTCTCTCTCTCTCGCTCGCTCGCTCTACATATATATATGTTTTACTCTCTTGTTGTGCGAACGCCGCCCAACCGTCCATTTAAAAAATTGTTATGTAAAATTTTGGAAAAAAAATGCAAATAAAATATCTAAAATATTTTTTCTTTTTGCTCTCACCTCTCTATTTCTCTCTTCTTTCTTCTCTCGATTTTTGCATATTACTATTTCGTACTGCTGGCAAACAACAACAACAACAAAACTCAATGCAACTTTTATGCGCTGCCCAACACTGAATAAAACAATCGATAACCAAAAAATATGATATACCGCTGATTTTTCACTTTCAACCTCAATCACATCAACCAACCAATCAATCAAACACCAATAACTGCCAATGCCACCACCACCACAAACCATTTTACGTCTTGACCATTTATATATATATATATATCCACATATGTGTATATGTATAAATAAATATATATACATATGTATATTGTTGGCTGTAGCAGAGGGTGTACCAGAAGTATATTACTTCGGCCCATGCGGCAAGTACAATGCTCTTGTTATGGAGTTACTTGGTCCATCACTTGAAGATTTATTCGATATTTGCGGCAGACGTTTCACTTTGAAGAGCGTACTTCTGATAGCTATACAATTAGTAAGTACAACAAAAACAACCAACCAATCACAACAACAACCCAAATAGCAACTACAGTAATAGCAACCAAAATAAAAACAACTTTTAAATAACTAAATCCATAGACATTTTTTAGGCACGCGCATCTCTCTTAGCACGAACACATAATTTGCATTACACATTTTTGCTATTTCGCTACTTACACAACACTGGTAATAGCTAAGGAAAATTAACCGACACATGGTTTGAAGCATAAACCACCAACCAACACTATTTTTGGTCTCACCTTTTTTTTTGTGTGGAATACATTTTTGGGGTACTTTTTTTTTACCTAATATTATTTCCAATACTAACCTGATGTGTGGGAGCTGACAATTTTTACTCGCTCTCTCTCTTTCTCACTTTATATCTGTCTCTTTTTTTGCCCAAATAGTAATGCCTGGTTGAGGTTTTATTTCTTTCTCCTCTACTTTTCAGTTCTAATAATGTTGACCTACTATATAAACTCCGCCGCTTTTTATAATCTAGCCGATTCTAATTAGCTTAAAAGCCCTAATCATAAATAAATCTCAATATCTCAATAAATTCAAAAACGTTCATTGTAATAATATTTATTTGCTTGCATGTGCATATTATGTAGTTTAGAAAAGCAAAATACAAATATTTACTTTTGAGTTGAACTCTATGCGCTCACATAATTTTTAATTTCGCAATCAGAAGACAATCGAATCAATCCAAATCAATCAAAACAACTTATGCTAGTTGAGACACTACAGAATCAAATATAATTATATATTTTATAGAACGGATAATGTATTGCGAACTGATGTCAATGGGCGTTTATAAGTGGCACCACATTTTAAGCTCTCATTGGCACTATTCGGTTAATACTCATAAGCAACACCTAATAACATTTTTGTTTCGAAATCGAATTCATAAACAGCTCCACCGGATCGAATATGTTCATAGTCGGCACTTAATATATAGGGATGTGAAACCAGAGAATTTTCTCATTGGCAGAACATCAACAAAACGTGAAAAAATTATACACATAATTGGTAAGTTACCTCAACAAGATTAAGATATAAGTATTTATTTATATTTGTGAAATTCGTATGCTCTTGACAGATTTCGGTTTGGCCAAAGAATACATTGATTTAGATACAAATAGACATATACCATATCGGGAGCATAAATCCCTAACCGGCACCGCACGTTATATGTCAATCAATACGCATATGGGACGTGAGCAGTCGAGACGTGATGATCTGGAGGCATTGGGTCATATGTTTATGTATTTCTTAAGAGGTTCACTGCCGTGGCAAGGCCTGAAGGCTGATACACTCAAGGAGAGATATCAAAAAATCGGTGATACAAAGCGTGCAACGCCCATTGAGGTGAGTTCTTTAATTAATTACTCCAAGGCTAGTAACATAATGCTTCTTATAATGTGCAGGTGCTTTGCGACGGCCACCCCGAAGAGTTTGCAACATATTTGCGTTATGTGCGGCGATTAGATTTTTTCGAAACGCCGGACTATGATTTTCTGCGAAGACTGTTTCAAGACTTATTCGATCGTAAGGGCTACACCGATGAAGGCGAGTTCGATTGGACAGGGAAGACAATGGTAGGTGTTTGTTTCGCTTCGTTTACAATTAAGACAAAACCAGAACAATAGTACATTTACCATCAAAACTTGACACCCCCAACCACATCCACAACACGCATTTGTGCCGAATTCTAAATATCATATTTAATTTATAGGATACATAAAAAGCAAGATCTCTAACGCCCCCAAGTTCCTAAATTGCATATCTAAAAAAGAAAATTGAAAAAAAAGAAAATCATTAGTAATAATTCATATATAACTCTAAAATCATTTCAAAATGGGGCAAAAGCAAGTTATGTAGTTGGCGCATGTTGAATTGAAGTAGAGTTATGCAGATGTTTTGGATATTGTTTTGGAAAGGAGAATGCAATTATAGAACCAAATACATATCTGCCATATGCCATAGACTATCTAATATAAAGCCATCAACTTCCGATGAATCGGTGACTACCTATACCTATAGCTGACCGAACAACTTCAAGTTCTATCGCATGAAATCGAAGGCTAAGCCCAACCCAAAACCCCAAACCAAACGAAAATGCCGGCAGCGCCTCGGTTTGTTCAAATTGATTGATGTTTCAACGCACTGTTATAAAATCGGTTCTAACCCACACACATGCACACACACACACACACACACATATATATATATATATATATATATATATATATATAAATATATATATTTTATTATTATATTCAAATGTGAAATTAAAGGGAAACCCAACCGAAATTGCCATATAATTACCACGATAAAATCCAAAAAAAAAAAAAAAAAAAAAAAGAACAAAAAGCTGAAAAAACTGGAAAAAAAATCTGTTGTTTTTATTTGTTAAACTAACTCGAGAAGTGGTTTTGAATTGTGTTTATATTTTGTTTTCGATACACTTGTTGATTATTTCTAAGATTCTACAAAATTATTATGTATATTTATGTACCTAACCGACTCTGACGCCAAAAAATAAAAGACCAAGGAACAATTGGATCAAATGAAGGTCATTAAGAATGCGCCGCCGTCGCATTTGGCAAAAAATAAATCCGATAAGGTATCACAAAAGTGCCGACAGAGCAGTAATACATAGTATGTTCAAATAGTCATAATGCCTGCTCGCCTCGCCCGTTCAGTGTTGGTAAACGCTTGCTGTAAGCTGCTAATCTTGCTCTCCACCGTGCTCTATAGATAAACAAATACATTTAAAAAATATATACATAGCTGTAAGCATAGTCTTAAGTTCAAAACTAACTGATCTGAGATTATAACCATTATAACCGCACTCTTTTCTCTCTTTAACCTTCTCTCTTTTTGGTTGTCAACTACAAAACTACATCGTTTCTCATGTGTCTGTGCGTGTTTCTGTGTCTAAACAATAATCTATGAAAAACAAATCAATCAAAAATCAACTACTATGCATTATAATAACTATAATCTGAACAACAAAATACCAAAAATTATCGACTGCATCCATATATCATTGACAACACCACCACCACCACCAACCACCACACCACAACAGTCAACGCCCGTCGGATCTCTACAAACTGGCCATGAAGTCATCATTTCACCAAATAAAGATCGTCATAATGTTACGGCTAAGGTAATGTATTAAGCTGTTGTGTTTTGTTTCCATTTCCAAATTTAGTAATAATCGATTTGTTATCAATAATCCTCCTATATTAATAATAGTTTTATTTTTAATACCCGGTTATAAGGCAAAAAATTTTCTACTCAAATAATTTATTTATATACTAGTTTTATTTTTCTTTTCTTAAACAAGCAAAGCTTCAAGATTTTGCGTTTCTGTTAGTTTTCAATGTTTTTTCGACTCTACTTCAACATAACTTTTTGCTCTGTTTATATTTAATTTTGGTCTCTGCTATATATTTCTTGCTTTCCCTCCATTTACTATCTCCTCCTGCACAACAATACCTCGTCTGTAAAGTATGTTTTTTTCTTTCAATTCCTTTGTCTTTTTCTCTATGAAACCGGTTTTGCTTTAGGACGTTTCGTATTTTGATTTTGATGATGAAGAGGATAATGAGAATGAAGAATATATAATACTTCAGGTTAGACGTTGTAGACTTGAAAAATTTCTATGTACTGGTTAGTGTGAACAATAAGTGGTTTAAGAAATAATCCAAAACGTATGCAAAAGTTTTATTGCGTGTAGGACTAGGCCCAAGCTTTTACAATTATTTATGTTTGCTACATAGTTCTAGTGCTAGGATATTAATTAGCTTTTGTTATTTGTTTTTCCACGATAAATGGACAGTAAACGTTTCCTGTAGAAATGTGTGTGTTTAGGCATTGCCAGCTGTAGAAAAACTGCTTTACAAACCCATAGAAATAATGGAAAGTTGTCAGCACTGTACTGTGCGTTGGTTAGGCATTGCCAGCTGTAGGGAAACTGCTTTACAAACAAATACAAATAATGGAGAGTTGGAACACTAACAAATAACGGCTTTGCGTAATACTCCGTAGACTGGTCTGCTGGCGAACGTATCTTTGATTATTCTATTGTTTCATATATATATATATATATATATATATATATATTTTTTTTAACTCACCTAATTGTAGTCTGAATTTAAACAAAATTGCATAAACATGTTGTTCCTTAGTTTTGCTTTTGTACATTTTTGGCTTTCGGTTGATTGTAAAAACGATTATTATAGTATTATTTGATTGACTTGCTTTAGTTTTTAGCTTAGAAGAGTTTAGTGCTCGTTTGCCTTTATACTATTTTGTACAAAAGACTATAAACGAAAATGAATAATTAATGAATTGCATATATAAATCATTTCCAACAATTGCTCGCTCGCTCCTTCGATTGATCCGACCAAAAATCCGACCAACACAATCAAAATTGCAACCAATCACCACCTACTACTACTACTACTTACCACCTCTTTGAATATACTGTACCAACGACAAAAAAATGTACAAAAACAGACAAATGCCAAAGGAGGTGTTGCTGCGTGGCCTGATGTGCCTAAGCCAGGCGCTACACTTGGCAATCTAACACCGGCCGATCGGCATGGTTCAGTGCAGGTAAGTTTGTGTCGCCTAAAAACTAAACTCTATTTCGATTGAAATCAAAATTTAAGACAGCCTTGCTCTCAAAACTTCTGTTTTCTGTTTGTTCTGTGCTCGTTGTTGTCGTTGTCGTTGTCATTGTCGCCGTGATCTCGTCATGTCTTTGTGCACGATGACAACCCTAACTTGATTTGTGTAAATATTATAAAAAATGAAGACAATACTCCAGACACAGCAAGCAGATCCACAGAAATCTAAAAACGCTCCAGTTTTTAGATACAATCACAAAATTGTAAAACTCTCTCCGTCTATCTCTCTCTCATTCGATTTATTGTTTATTGTACAAAGAAGGAAAATTTAGAAACTCATTAACCCTCTGCCGCTCGCCTGTTTTCTATAATCAATATAATCAATATATGTTCATTGTGTTCTGAAATTCGAAATGTATTTGTATATAGACCCTTAAAGCCATCCTACTTATGTATAATTATTATTAATAATTATTACCAATTACAAAACTTTATATCTATGAAATACTTACTCATTGAATTACTCGCAGACTGTTATATTTTTGGCCTTTTCAATTCTAATGTTTTCACTTGATTTACTCTACATTAGCTCAACAAGGTATTGAATATAAACCCCAGATGTTTTCTCCTATACTTTCGTTCGGTTTGTTTGTACTTGTTCGATTGTTTGTGCGGCTTTTCCACAAACTTCGTTTTCTTTTTGGACAAGTTTTTCCTCTATATCTCCATATCTCTTATTAAATGAATGTTAGTGATTTTTTCAAATAGCTGCTATGGATAGATATTTTTTGATAACTGCGCATGTTCTTACCATGAATCTGCACTGCATGGCAACCAAAATTAGGGTCGGGCTACCCCAATATTTGTGCATGTCGAGCAATATTTAAAACACTGCATGTCTCACCCAATCAATCGCTCAGATTATCTGCACCAATTCGAGAATTCGGCATAGATCGCGAGCATATGTACCATATTTATCACTCGAGGCATGCCTTCAATTAGAAATGTCGTCGTAATGGTAGTTACCCCAACTTCCCAATATATGTGACGAGAATAGAGCTCTCTGTATACCGAAACCAAACCAAAAACTTATTACAGAGATTGCCCGAAGATTCAAGCTCGGATGATGATAGCCCCTTCGATGCTTATTATGAGAAAAGCGACAACGAAGATGCGTCTAAGAAATAAATATCACCCCCACCACCATCTCCTATACTACTAAATAATTATACCTATATTGATATACAGCAGCTCAGCAGCTTGCTATGAACAAATAAACTGTATATATACACTCCTGTATACCACAATTTATGCAATTCGAGGTTTTATTTACCAAATGTTTCTATTTAGAGCCTCTCTTAGCAACAATTCGCGAGGTATTTAGTTAAAACAAATACTTGTTGTGATCCATGTTTCTTGTATTCGTGTATTTCGTGTGCATTTTGTGCTCGTCTCTGGGGCTTTTGTTATTGTGAGAGCGCTAGGATATAGTATGTATTTACGAGTATAATAGTAAGAGTGTAGATCTGCAAACGAGTCCAAAATCCGCGCAATCTCTGTGTTAAGTTTTTGCTCTTCTAACGAGACTGTATCTAATCCGTTTAAAAAGCCTTAAATGTGACATATTTAAGAAGGGAGGGCTCGTTTGCAAATATTAGCATCTATAGTCTATAAACTCAGTCTGAAGGAGCAAGCTTTAGAAAACGTATATATAGATAAAACTATTTATTTGTCTGTGACTGTCTAATAAAAAGTTTGGAATATGGGTTAATAATAGCTTGTTCGTTCTGTGTGCAAAATATGGTTAATGTAGCTTTGAAAAGCAGATAAATAAAATAAACTCGTAGTACTTAGGGATAAGGAAAGTCTATAAAACAGGTTTGGTCAACCGTTTTCGCAATACAGGTGTTCATACTGACAGACAAACAGACATAACTAATCATCCATTTTATGGGAACTAGACTAACTGTTGAATTATATTTCAATTTTTCTCGCTTACTCACGTCCCGTTTCCACAACCAAAAAGATTTGTAGTTTTAAGGGAAAATCTATAGGTCCAGTTCTTAAAATCTAAAAGAGACTTAAAGGAAAACTGTATTACCTAAAAATATGTGATTTTCTTTTTTGGAGCTTCTATAGACTAATTATAAACACAACTGAATTCAATTCAGTTCATTACACTTTCGAATCTTTAATCTTTGAGCTGTTCTTTTTAATATTTTTCTCTACTATATTTTAGAAGATAGAACTGCCATAGAAGCTATTAGATATTTAAAATCTACTTGCGAATTTATTTCTAAAGCGCATTTCTGCAATGTTTCCTAGCACAAAGGTTTCGTAGTAAAAGCACACATTCAAATATATTTCTAACTGTTATACAAAATTAGAACCACTATTAGAAACTGTAGCACACTTTCTATTTTGTAGGAATTACCGCTAAATCCACACTCCCGCATTTCAATTATAGAAAGCCGATGTGAACATGTTTTTGCTTTTTCCAAAAAAAAATATGGAGCGCTTAAGTCGTCCCTAGTTATACGTTTTGTTTAAATATATACTAAAGTGTGTGTGTGTGTTTTTTTTTTGACTAGCGCAACGTGTCTAGCGTCCATATGTATGGCCCACCAATTAAAATAAACACGAATCAAATATATGTACATGCATATACGAGTATACTATGTGTATAAGTATGTGTATGCGTATATTAATTTGTCCACTCTATGTTTAGTATAACAGTTTGCAACTCTCTCACTAATGCCGCGGAACTCTCTTCTCTCTCTCTCTCTCTCTCGTTCTCTTTCTGTTCTGCTCTGCTCTTTCAGGTTGTGAGTTCGACAAATGGCGAACTGAACGCGGACGACCCCACGGCTGGCCACTCGAACACGCCCATCACACAACAGCCCGAAGTAGAACTGGTCGACGAAACGAAGTATGTAGATGAGTTCTGGAGAGTTAAATGGATGTGATTTGGTGTTTTTGCTTTGTCGTTTTAATGCGAACTCTATTGTTTTTCTCTTTTAACTGTTATAGTGGTTCCTTATATTCCAGATGTTGTTGTTTCTTTAAACGAAAGAAGAAGAAATCAACTCGCCAAAAATGACTAGACGGTGTACAATGTAGTCCAGAACGGGAGGCAGTCACCCTGCTCCGCGCCACTTCACATTCAAACTCACGGGATAGCGTCTTGAATAATCCGAGTCAGGATTATATCCAACAGGCAACGTCGCAGCACACGTTGCGTTATCCTCCATCCGCGTCGATGCTGACGCCAACACCAACTACAAACACACCGACACTTCCGTTGTAATTTATATATATATATAAATAATTTACATAAATGTAGAGAGAACAGAAACTAAAACAAAAACGCAAAAAGCAAAAAACACAAAAACAAAAAACAAAAAAAAACTTAAACTAAACAAGCAAAAAAAATCCAAGAAAAAAAACAGCAAAAACAACAAAACCACACACACACACAATTTATGATTGTAAGGGTCCTGGGGTGGCTTACCCATAACCTGTCCGGGGGTCGAAAAAACTGAAAAATTGGAAACTTAAAGAAGAGGAAGAAGAAAGGCGACAGGTGGACGGTGTGGGCGCGACTCCGCCCCCATGTGTATTGATTATTATATTTGTATTTAATTATTATTATTTTTATTTTTTATTTACCAATTTTGCGTTTATTATATAAATTATTATAATTATTATTAATTAATTATTATTATTAATTAATGCTATTACAAATAATAATAACGATAAAAATAATAATAAAAAAAAACAAGCAACAAATCTACTCTGATGTTATAAACAATAATAAATACAATGTAACAATTCTGGAAGCGAGGCAGCCGTTTCGTGCTAAAAACTAAATATATAATAATTACTACAATAATTCAATTCTGCAATATTTTTAAAAATTTTTTGAACAACAACAAATTACACACAGGCCTCAAACTCTCTTCTTAGTCCCAAAGCCCCTAAACTCATGTGTTTTGTTGTTAATTTTTTTGAAATCAATTCACAAAACATTCGAAAAACCAAAAAAAGCTGAATAAACGCAATTCACGGAAACTTAAAAAACAACTTCATCGTTTAACAATATTTTGTTTTGTTTGGTCAAATTTAATTTATGTTTGTCTCGAAAAGAAAAGAAGCCGGAACCGAAGCGTAGAAAGCATGTAAAGAAGAAAGGAAGTAGAAGCAAAACAGAATTAAAATACGTATTTAAAAATAATTGAAATTTAAAAACCAATTGCTCTTAAACACAAACAACAAACCACTTAAAACGCGAATTAAAGCATATTTATATATACATACATAAATGTATTTAAATACAAAATAGTGCAGCATCATTTAATGAAACCAGCAAAAACAAAACGTGCATATTTATATATATATATATATTTAAATTAAATTAAAAAAAATTAAACATTAACAACAACAATTGTACATTTGAAAATCCAACAAAAAACAACTACTGTTTACTGAAAACAAAAACAAGAAACGTATATAAATATAAACATATATTTAATATATAGTATATTTGTATGCCTCTATATATTTACAACACACACACTCATACATACATACAAACATACACACACATACATATATAAATATATATATTTACACGCATACCGCCCCCTGCAGCTAACGCCTTACCCGCTACAAAATTATTTAACAAATGAAAGATCAAAAGATGAAGCACAGTGGTTCGGATTGTCGAATTAGCTAAACAACATAATTGCAATATTTTATTTAGATTTCCATTTTTTTATTATTATTATTTTTTTTTTTTTTTTGGGCTGCTAATCTGTATAGGGAAATTGGAGAAGTTAGAAAAACTTTTAGTTTATAGGATTCAAAGTGCTGTGGCAATTCCAATATATTTTCAACATCTTTGGCTGCCAAATTAGGAAACTACGTCTGAAAAATATGAAAAATGGCGTATATTTAAATGACGAGTCAATACCACTAATTGTTTTAGGTCAATCTCAGAAAAAAGTACAAAAATTTCTAGTTAACAAAAGAGTAATCTGTAATATTGGCAACTATTATCAACTTTTTTCCATTTTCAGCTAAAACTGATTTGAAAAGTATTTTGAAAGTATTTTTTCCCTCTGTAAAATTAAAAAAGATTGTATTGCTTTCGATTACAGATTTAAAAGACGCAGCGTTACCAAATTTAGTTTTAGGTTCCACTCAATTTATTTATACAATTTATATATATTGAACAAACCTTTGAAGTTCCGTTAAAATTAGAAAAACAAAATATCCGAATCTGAACTACTGTGCGGCGCTCGTAGCTTTTGTTTAGCTCTGTTTTTTGGATGCACTTTTAATGCTATTGTAAATAAGTTTTATATATCTATAATATATATATATATATATATATCTATATATATCGAGAGGGAATTGTATGTATATTTCTGGTAGTTCAATTAATTTTTATAACATTTGTGCATTTATTTTCTTAGTGTGTTGTTGTTTTCTAGAACAATTTTTTAATTACGAACAAAAATTTGTAGTGAAGAAGCGGAAAAAATTATGAAGATCAGGCACATATGACAAGCAGTGCGTCAAGCTGTAAGCAGTGTGTGTATTGTGCAATCAAACAGCAGAGTTAACGGTTTCAAAACATTTGTTTTGCAACCGCAATTCCCCCAGCCAATTAATTTCCGAAAACCAAAAAGAAAAGAAAGGAAAGTGAACTTTTTACTCAATAATATCAATCATTTCTAATACATTTATAGTTAAAATACTAAAGCAAAAAGGAAAAGTACTGAGCCACTTATTTTGATATTACGTGATACTAAAACACTAAACTAAACAAACAACATATACATACATATAGACACATATATACTCTGTCTGCAGCCACGCCTGAAACACACAAAAACGATTTCTCCCGCACTCCCCCCAATAAATACAAAAACACCGAATACTACTACATCAAATGTTTATCCAAACTCCAGCTGAACGAATTTGATTTTTTCCTTCATAAGCAAGAGCAACAGATCGATTTACAACATACATATATAAATAAATAAATATATATATATATATATATATATATATATATATATATATATATATATATATATATATATATATATATATATATATATATATATATATATATATTTTAAACACATTTTTTATACTTATTAAAATATACATACTACAACAGAATAGCGTTAACTTTAAAACAACCGACAAGAACTTGAAATTGTTTATGCATTCTTCTAGCATGGGAAAAACTAAAATCAAATTTCAGCAACTTAATCTAATGATAATCCACATGAAATTACGAACATTTATTGTATAGTTAAATGAAAATAATTTGTATTATACGATGATAATATTGACAATGATGATGATGGTAGGCGGCGGAGAAATCACACAATTAAAACATATTTCTGTAAAACTACAAGAAACAAATAACAAATAAACAAACGGCACTAGATTACATAAAAAGTAAAACAAATTATACATACTATATATACATATATATATATATATACTTGTATATAAATATATATGTGCATATATATATATATATACATTATGTGTACTTTAATGTTGATAAACAAACGAGAGCATGCATTGATGATTTATATATACATATATAAAACAAATCGCATTAAACATAAAACAAAGGAACACTACATATTAAAAAAGGAAACGAGTTAGTTAAACAAACTATGCGCGTTTTTCGAAATGTTCGCACATGCGCGCGTCTAACGGCTAGCAAGCAGTGCACGCAAGCAGGCCTTTGCTAATTGCAGGTAATGCAGTTAACATTGTTAACTGCCGTAAGCAGTTTTAAACAAATTTAACATTTAAATTTATTGCAAACAAACAAAAATAACAAATATTTAAGTCACTTTAACTGAATAGCTTAACGACAGACATTTCAGTTTATAAAGCCCATATGAAGAAACAAGAAGAAGAAGCGAGGAAGAAGTGGAAGAAAAAAATATTGTATAAAAATGATTTATTCTAATTGTAAGTAAAAACAAACAAACAAGAAAAGAACCGAAAAACAACAAAAACACAGGAGTTAAGTGAAAACAAGAAAACCGAGAAAAAAATGAAACAACTGAAAACAAAATAAAATGAAAATTATTAAAAAACAAAATGAATTGTCTTATTTTTTAATTATATAGAAAAAGTCATGGCCATGATGGACTCCATCCTTCTATTTGTAGTCGAAATTCTTTAATAACAAAGTATTTGTGGAAAATAGTGGCAGTATGTAGTTTCAACACAATTGCAACGCAACTCGATAAGTTAAGATGCTTCTGATTAGAGCATGATATCGATCGATAGCAGAGTCGATCGATGTTTTCGATAGCTTTGTATGAATCCATCAATGTTATCGATAGTTGCTTCAAAGTTTGAATGCAATAAAAAAATAAGGAAAAACAAATGTTAGTGGGTTGAACAAGCGTATTTTGTTGTAAAGGCTTTTTTTCTTTAAAATGTTTCCACAATGTTTCTCTCTTTGCTGTGGCGCTTTCAATTTTGGGTTCAGAGACTGTTGTTCCTTAAAAGAAAGAAGGAAAACACAAGACTTACTCATTGAAACATGTTAACTTTCGCTTTTGAGAAATTTGTCCACTTTTTTCCACCTCCAGCCGCACCCAACACCTCCAATCGACTACCAGAAATATTATATTTATGTTAAATAAATAAATATTAATAAATTAAAATTGCACTTACAAATTTTCTGTATTCCTTTTAACGTGCAGTTATACATACGAACTATCGATGGTGGGCATAATTCCATCGATAGTTCCAAAAATTTAAAACTATCGATAATGCGATCGATATTTCTCATGCTCTACCTCTGATCTGCACCATTAAGACCAAAACAATTAAATGGAACGGCGGAGAAAGACGATCGTTCCGTATTTTTTGTTTTTTCGGACACCCATGAAATTGGAATTTGCATCTCGAACCCAAAAATATGTCCACCTCCGATCACCATATTTTCGATCAAGAAATAGATTGGCTTTTGATATAACTGTGTGATATATATTTTTTAATTGAAATACTTTGTTTATACATATTTATGCTTTGTGTGTATTGTGTGTGTTGTTTTAAAATTAAATATTTCCGTTTCAAATCCTCTTCCTGTTTAACCCTTTAGAGACAACAAAATTTGTTAATTGTGTTACATCAGCTTCGTTTACTTCTTTGCTAATTTTTTTCACTGAACTACTACAATATATGTATAATTTATAATTTTAAACCAATTGCGCTAAATAATTTATTTAGTATGTATGTAATTATTGTAATTGCATTAAACATTCATTTATGTACAAATTATGACACTTATTGCTAATTGAAACATTAATGGTATTATCATTATTCTTTCTGTTATTGTTGGGCAAGCTGTGAAGCAGAGGGAAATTGAAAAGTGAGTTTTTCTCGTGCGTAATGTTAAGCTTAAAACGAAACTAAAATTAAGTAGAAAAAAACACAGTCTTATTTGTGTAGACAGAATCGAAAAACCACATATCGGCGTATAATGCAGACACACTCGTACAAGTACAAGTATAGCAAAGATCAACCAGCGCGCAACGTAATGGGTTAATGCAAGGTACGCTTAAGATATGTTCTATTTAATTATTATTGTTGCTCTTTTTGTTGTTGTTGTTGTTGCTTCTATTCTTCACTGGGAGAGCATTGTGCTACAGAGCCTCTAAATACCTAGGCTGCGACTGCGGCTGGCAATGGCGACATTGGCGATGAAGATGGGGTATGGGCGTGGGTGTGGGGCAAGAATCGTGGTTTCCATGGGCGGCGTTTTAGATGTGTTTGCGGAGCACCCGTCCATCTGTGAACGAAAAGATATACAAAAATATAATATAAAATATATATATATATTCATTATATAAATTTTATCAAGAAGCAGGGTTCGTAAAATGCGAGCACGACCCAGTCGGACCCGCGAAAATTTCTGCCGTGGGTCGCTGCCGACTGACGCAGAGTGTCGTCTGAGCCGTCTGGCAGAAGCCATGGGTCGTGTGAGTCGGCCGTGGGTCGCCGTGAGCCGCTGCCGACAGCAGCTATAAGTCATATATAGGACCCGTTTCATCCCTTATAGCTTCATCTAGCTGTTTTGGTTCCGTTTGCATAGTGGTACCTGATACTATATTTTTGAATGAATGTCTTCAGATTTTTTGGCTACATAAAATAATTAAGCCATTTGCAAAAAAAACTTGTTACTAACATATCTAATACTATTCTAAAGAACTATACGTATTGATTGTAGGATTCACTATTATGGGAAATAGGTAGCAAAGTCCCTTTAAATTCAGTTGCAACGCGAAGCATCCTTAAAAATAGTATTAGTACCACTGTGCAATCGTAGGCGAAACAGCAGGTACAGAGTGAATGAGAGCGCGCACATTTCGCCACACAAGCATACAAATTTCACGCATCTCACATATGTACATATGCCTGCTTGGCACGAACGAGCTCTCGGCTTCTGCGGCTTCTTCTCGTACGACGGCAGGGACTCACTCGACCCATGGGCAGAGGCTCACAAATACCCGCGGCCGCATTCGTAATGAGTAGCAGCGCGTAGTGAACACATTTTACAAACCCCGTCTAGAAGTCAGACCTACCTATGATATTTGGATAATTTCCGACGCTTGGCTGGTGGGGCATCGAAGTCAAAGCGACTGTTGGCGGAGCCGAAATTTCCAACGCTGGCGGCGAGAGTACCTGCAAGGCAGTGGAGGGGAAGGCTTTAGCTGCAGATATAATCAAAGCCTATTGTGTGGCTAACCATGTTTGCGTTTATTGCTGCGTTGCACCTGATTGATGGCAGTGGTGGGCAATAGTGGGTTAATGCGTGTCACGCTCGGCGGCAGCTGTTGTTGCTGTGGCCTGCGGATCGTACAATTCCGTCCACGACAGCTCTTCAGTTGCTCCAGAGTGTCATGCATGTAGGACCTTTCGGCAGCAGACAAACTCGAGGCTCGATTCAAGGTTTCAAAACGATCTTTAAAGAGAGTTTTATAAATTGATGCAAAATGACAATTTATTGGAGATATTTTATATACCAATGGTTAGGTTATAGAAGGTAATCAGGCCCGTGGTGAACTCGCAATACAGATAATCGTGTGTGGCATTAATGGTGCGAACACACGAGTAGGTGTTGTTGTTGGCGTTCATGCAGAAACAGAAAGGACTATCGTTCCATAAAGGGGCTGTGCGCCAATGTGTGTTGTCGTGCGAGAAGCAATTCATTTTCTCCGACAGACATTCCTTCTCCAGGCGTGCCTTCTTAATCCGCTTACGCTCCTTTCGGCGTTGACGCTCCTCCTTCAGTTTGCGACGGGCCTCCCTAGCCATCTCCTTGGAGTCCGCATAGCTATTGGGGAAATAGAGGTTTGAAATATTAATAAGTTTGCCGGGCCCTCTCTTTGCTGTAGTCCTTCAACTTAAATTAGGTTTGCTGCACCGATTGTTCCTATGTCAGCTACTATAGCACAGCGATTTTGATCAAACTTTACAGTTGATTCCAAATAGACCAGAATAATCTACATACAAAGTTTGGTGCCCATAGGTGTTTTGGTTAAAAAGTAATACATGATCATACAGTCGAACAGGCAGACGGACTGATAATTATGTGCACCTGTATTATGATGTCTGAAGCCTTCTTCTTACATCCATATAGCGCTTAAACATTCTAGTATACCTTTAAACCTTAAACTTACTTCTCGCCCATTTCGGGCTCACAATAGCACTCGGCATGAGTGGAATAGTGGTGTGGACGCTCCGTTTCGTAGGAATCGAATATGGGCGCATTGCCAAAACCTCGAAACACTTCCTTTTGACCCCCACTGGCGGGAGTTGTTCTTGTCGTTGTTGTTGTTGTTGTGCTAGTGCTGCTGCTAGTATTAAGGCGTGGAGTACTTCCGGGAGTTGTAAAAAAGCTCATGTTGAACTCACGGCCCTCGCCAAAGTGCGCCTCATTACGACGCCGTTCATTGTAGAGATGGGAGGGTCTTTGCTTCTCATACCACTGCGGCTCCTGTTGGGAGGCCATCGAGAAACGTCTGCGCCCATTCTTGTCTCGATCGGCGCCACGCCCACGTCCTACAGCCGCGAGCTGCTGCTGCTTGTTCTCACGCATTTGCTTCTTCATGTCCTTCAGGGTGCTGATCTTGTCCTTCAGCACCTTGATTAGCATATCAATTTGATTGCGGGACTTGCGCCAAGTCTTCTCATCATCATAAATCACATCGGAACAATTCACTTTACTAGTAAGGGCGTCCACATAGCAACGGGTCCCCACACGTCCCCCAACTTTGGGAAACTTGCTGCCGCGCACGAAACCCGCTGGTGATAGGGAAGTGCCGCTAATATTGTGCACGTCATGCTCATAGAACTTCAGCTCTAGTGTTTCGAGCGTGCTCTGGATTTCCTGTATAACCTTGGCAATGGCCTCATTGGAGCTCCCATTCTTCTTGCCGCTGCCATCGTCCTCGATGGGTGGCAGCTCAAAGAGCTGTGCTGTGCTTAGTTCCCGTTTGCTTCGTCTCAGTGGGGAGTCGAGCAGCTCCAGTGTGTGATGCAGATCCAGTAGCTCCTCCATTTCGTAGGGCAGCTCTGTGTGATAGATTTCGTGTATGTCGCGCTTGTTCCGACGTCGCGGCTTCTCCACATGCTGCGTGCGCTTCCTCAGACGCTGGGGAGCGCGAATTTTGGTGTAGACCAGACCATCGGATGTGAAACAGGCGCAGTTGCGCTGATATTGCTTCCGAGGCAGCGCTGCCAAATGGTGTTCTAGTTGTAACTGCTGATATTACGAAATGATTAGTGAGATGAAAGTTTCGTGACGGGAGTGATTCAAAAAGCTAAACCTATCATCTCCAACAGGTCAACTGTGAAGTAAGTCTTCGAAATTTTTAAAAGGTTTTAAGGGGTGCTGATCCCTGAGAATTACTTTAATGTACTTCTTCTGCCGTATACTAAGCATTACTGGAAAGAACGAGCAGCCAATCAGTAAAGCAGGTATGCTCTGAAGAAGCAGGAACAGCAGGATGAGGACAGCAGGAGTAGCAACTGTTGGCTGTCAAGACCCAATACAAAGAACACAAGTAAGCGACTAGGGTTTAGCAGGGAAAAGAATTTGTATCCTAAATGGGGGAAGAAATCATAAGGACATAATACTCGTATATCCCTGCACTCAAAATAAATCCTTTTTGTCAGTTAGCAGGGTAATGGGTAGTCGAAGCAGCACTTTCGCACAAGATCTATTGAACTAAGAGGTAAAAAGCAGGTCAAGCACTTATATTTGGACGCTTCTTCTAAAGATGAGAGATCTTACTTCTATATTGGGGATTTCCTTACAGCAGAAGTTGCACAAACCTCTCAAAACACAATACCCCTGAACACTGTCCACCCCAATAATCTCAGATATGTTCGGTTTGTCAGTTAGGGTCTTCGCCTTACAGCAGCAATGTAGTGGGTAGTCGAAGCAGCACTTTCGCACAAGATCTATTGAACTAATAAAAAGCAGGCCGGGCACTTATATTTGGATGGTTCTTCTAGAAGAAGAAGTTGCATAAACCTCTCAAAACACAATACCCCCGAACACTGTCCACCCCAATCATGGATGGTGACTTACATGAAATTTGCACTTGTGTTTGCGCCATCGGCCCTCCTCGTTGACGCACTTCCACTTCTGCCCGGGTATACAGTTCTTGAGTAGCGCCGGATCTGAGCATTCCGAATTCAAACGCATCATTTTGGTAACGTATGGGGTTAGTGGCAAATTGTTATCACTGTCATATAGCTCCTGTGGCTGAGACGCCTCTTCATCGTCGAATTCATCTTCCAACTCCTGCTCGGCAGTGTCCACGTCATCCGATGCGGGCGCCGAACTATCCATAGCCTCATCATCTTCCGCATCGGTTTCAATGTCTTCCTCATCGAAAACTTCAGGCTCCCCCTCCTCTGTGGTCGAGCTCTGCAGGGTGGACATTGTGCTTGAAGGACTTCCGATGCTGCTGCTTGTGGTGGCTCCTGGTAAGTCTTCCAGGAGCGTGCTATTGGCCAGCTTTTGGCCTCGGCGTTCCGCCTGCAAACGTGCCCGAGATTCGGCTATTTGATCCGGTGTCTCTCGCCTACCTGAGCTCTCAATGAGGAAGCTATCTGGCCAGTTTTCGCGAACGGCTCGATTTCGACTTAAAAGTAAAGGCATAATACTGCGTCCATCCATATGATGGGGAGTAGGCACACCGCCCATGTCCAGAAATGTGGGCGCCAGGTCCACATTCAACACGATTTCATCAACGCTGCAATAGTGTGTGTGTGAGAGAGATGATCAATAATTGAAGAATACAACACCTATATTAGTTATATGCTTACACTCTGGAAGCCTGAATTCCTGGACCACGTATGAGGAAGGGAACACGCACATCGAATTCAAAGGGAAAACTCTTGCCCTTGATCAAACCGAACTGGCCCAAATGATAGCCATGATCAGAGGTGTATATAATGTACGTATTATCTAGTTCGCCCAGAGCTTTCAGCTCATTATAAACCCGCTCCACGGCCACATCCACGCTTTGAAGTGTTTGCAGGCGCTTGGTCATCAGCAAATTGGTAAAACGCTTGTGTACCGGCTCCATTGGTTGGGTCACACGTAGTATCCATTGTTTGTCCGGATTGGGTGCATGATCGTACGAGGGCGTACTAAATTGTATTAAAAATTAAATGGATCAGATAATTAAGCGATGGTAACAATTTTTACTTCAATCTATTTGAACAAGTCCTATTGTTTTTCGAAATACTCTGCATTTATAGATAGTTAAACAGCTCTAACTGCTCTGAGATACTGGTCGGAGAATCCTTAGGACCCCTAAATATTTTCTGACAACATACACGCCGACAATGAAATGAAAGATAAGCTAACAAACTAGATTAGACTACCCAATGATCGGCTCTGAACCATTCTGCGGAAAATCCAAGAGACACTTAATGGAGAAGATCGACATAAAAGTCTCTTAGAAACCACTCCTTAATGATATCGGGGCTATCGGAACTTTGTTCTCTGGGCATAGTTATCCTATAAGAGGTTATTTTGATCATGGAATGAAATACGTTGTCGAAACTAGGGATGGAAATCGAAGGAAAAACATAGATGTTGATGTACATCGATGTCTCTTTATAAAAAATCGATGCATGGTCGATACATCGCAAAAAAACATCGATGCATGTTTTAGAAAATTAACTTTCCATAGAAAAGAAGCCCAACAAAACATGAATAATGTTCGATATTTGGACAAAAAGCGATGGACAATGCATCGTTAGGAAAAAACTATCGGAAAACATCGATGCATTGTGGTAAAAACATCGTCGATGTTTTTTTACATCCCTAGTCGAAACAGTATGTGAAAAGAAATTAGGACTCTACAATTGAAGAAGGTCCCAGAAGATAGCATATCCAATGCGCTATGCATGTGTGGGGCGATGTTGGTGCTTATTTATTTCTGAAAGATGCATTTACCTAAGCCTGCTCATTATTCGAATAACATTGTTGGCTGATCTGATTGCTACTATACTCGTATATCGTCTAGGACTAGTTTAATCCTTAATTCATCTTTTGGCGAAATTGTGAATATTAGTGCATGGCCGTAATATCAAAGATTGTTTGTATATTCTCGACAACTATTATAGTGATCTCACATTATCTGTTCAGGCCCAGCAATCAATGTTCTATCTAAGAATAGTAGCCTTATTTATATAAGATTATATATAGATTAAGGAAATATAAAAGGTATCTAGTTATAAAAACGTCAGTCTTTGATTCGTCTGCTTTGATTCTGAGGCTTTATGGAATTACTCACTGATGCGTGGTCACATTAAAGAACAGATGACTATATTGTGGCGCCGAGTCCTCGGGTCCATGGGGTGACGGAAAACTCATGGTCAGCATAATGGGCTTTCTTTGGTTTTGTTGCTTTGAGGAGCGTAGAAACGCAATCGAATCGTTCGCTATCAGATCGGGATAATAGTCCTTGGCATAGTCGAAGCCATGCTTTATCTTCTGCCCATTCATATTGATGCTGTAATTATAGTACTTGGAGTTCATTATCAGACCACCCCACTCACGCCATCCGGGCGGTATATAGGAGCCATTGTATTTGTTCAGATATTTGCCAAAGTAGCCGGTCCTGTAGCCAGCATTCGATAGGTAGGTGGCAAAGGAGCGCGTCTCATGTGTCGCCTGCCAATGGGGACTCGAGCAGTTGTCGTTGTTCGTGAAGACCATGTGATTGTGGACGTACATGCCCGTGAGTAGCGATGAGCGGGCAGGACAACACATCGGCGTAGTTGTGTAGGCGTGTCGGAACTCGGCGCCGCCATCCCGTAATAGACGCAGAGTGCGCGGCATGAAGTTCAAGGAGCCCAATTCCACATCCTGATCATCCGTGAGGATCAGTATAATGTTGGGTTTGCGAGCGCTGGAATCACGCGAGAAACGACGATTCGATGGCTCGTGACTGCGATGATGTTGCTGCGGCTGGTGTTGCTGGTGCTGATGAGCCACATGAGGCTGCTGTTGACGATGTTGCTGATGCATATGCTGCTGATGCTGATGGGCAGCATGTGGCTGCTGCTGTTGATGATGTTGCTGATGCTGTTGAGCAGCATGTGGCTGATGTTGCTGATGTTTTTGTTGCGCTTGTCTACTGTTCTGCTGTTGTGGCACAGACTCATGTTGCTTTACTTTATTGTCGGGTGTTGAAGGCGGCTGCTGCCGCTCTTGGGCCATGGCTGGCGCGGTGCTCCACAGCAGGTTGCACATAAATATAAGCCCGATGCAGCCAAATAATAACAGATGCGACCTTTGCGCCATTGCTGCTCTACACTTTCTCTGTTGCTTACAGTTAGTTTCAAAAATTGCAGCAACTTTATTGCTTAAATCGCGCCGCCATGCATTCACCCCAGAGTCATTTTCAAAACGCGCGCAAAACGCGTGGGAAACGCGCACTGCTTATGTTGCGCGTCTGCAATGAAATGGAATAGAAATTTAATAATTTAAGTTTTTAATTAAATAAAATTAAATTTAATTTATATATAATAGTAATAATGTAATAATAATTTATAAAAAATAATAATAATAATGAGAATATAAATATACAATTCTGAGGCTATGAAAATAAAAAAAACTTTACAATTTTTTTTAAACATTCTATTTCGCTTTTAAAAGAAAGTTAATCAAGCTTGCATTTTCTGGGAAGCAAAATTTCAAAATAAAATGAATTCTATCGCCTTATATCAAATGAAACTTCAGCGACTTGCACTTCTATTCTTTCTTTCAAAAATTTTATAAAACTTATTGACAGAATATATATTTGATTTTCTCAAACTACGGGTTGTGTTGTTACAAATCATTTTTACTAGCACAGTAAAGGACGAAGGAGTTCTATGAAATGAAAATAAATAGTTTGGTGCAAGATATCACATAAGAAACTACTCTAGAACTCATGTCTTGTAGCAAAAGCAATAAATTCTTATAACTCCTTAAAAACTCATAATAAATACATGGGTATAGGGCGGTTCAATAAAAAAGGGCGTTTTCTTGTTTGCCAAGTTTTTTTAAACTCAATTATTTACTGGTTCAGTTCCGGTAGAATTCCGAATAATTGCTTGAAATTTAATTAATTATTAAATACAACTAAAGACACTAAAATATAATTTAATGGGCAACAATAGTTTTGTTTGGTGCGGATTCTAGGCTTGCTTTCCTAAAAAAATCAAATTAAAAAAAAAATGTTTCTAAAATGTGTGCCTAAAATTTTAAGTTCCTAGAAGAGTTCTTCAAAATTCTAGAAATGACATACTCCTACATAAAAATTGCCAAATTATAACAAATTAAATTTATAGAGAAACTCGTGAATGCCCGTGGTTGTAAAAGGTAAAACGCGTAGAATAAGAAAGTCTTGCCAGCCTGACTCGAGCCCACCGTTCTCTCCCACTAAAGCCATTCAATAATAATAATCTAATCAGTCTAATTTTTTGTGCCAATTATTCCAAAGGCGGCTAAATGGTAGACAGTGAAAATTCTCTTTATAGGCACCTCTCCTTATCCGGACATCCCTCTTAGGAGGAAAGTTTCTCTCGACCATTCGTTTGGTGTACTTATTATTTAAGTATCCTCTTAAGCGGACACTTCCAGTTGAGTGCCTGGCCAAGAGGTTTTTACTGTACACCTAATTCTGTTTGTACACGGTAGAAAAACACGTGTAAAAAAGAAATTAATCATATGGAAAAATAGGTGATTGGTTCCTTATCTCTAAAACCTATTTAAATTAGTGAAAAAACCAGGATTTATGTTTATTTTTATTCATTAGTTTTATTCAATCGCATATATAATGTGTATAACTGGAATGGTTTCTAGCTGTTTGTCAGCTGTATGTGTTTTTATTATTATTTATTTATTTTGTGTTTTTTTTTTTGAATCGTGCTAAATGGAATAAAGTCGTGTAACCAGATATAAAACTTTTAATTTTCAAACCTATGATAAATGTCTTTTTTAACACGTTTCTTTTTTATACGAATTTTTCTGTAACCAATCTACCGTGCAAAAACAGAATTAGGGTTTACTTAGTTTCCCAGTTATAATAAAACATCAGTACCTAAGCAAAAAAATTGAGGCTTTTTATAGTAAGGTGCACATGTCTATATCGACTCGACTCTTTAGGCCACCTTCTGCCTATTGCTCAGTTTTCCTTTTCACTTTTCAAGTATTGGTCTTAAAAAGTGAGCACATTTCGTGAGCGTCTTCTTTTTCACGCGCACAAATCTAGTCCTTTTGTATGGAATTGCAGCTGCCTTGCGCTACTTTCCAGCAGCTGCCTTCAGATTATCGCCGCATTTTATGCACCAATTGACCTTCGAATCGGCAACTACCTTTTCCCACTTTGACAGCCGACAACAACAGCAACAACAACACTTTTGCTGTCACCAAATATTTACGCTTATAGCCAAAAAAGGAAGAAAAATTGCAATGCTTGTGCAGAAAATCAGAGTCCCCTGCCTCTATCTATTTGTTTTGTCCACACTTATCAGGAATGTCAACGCTGTCATCGCTTAATGCTGTTGTTGTTGTTGTTCTTGCTGTCGCTACTTCCTGTAAGTACCGACGCTTGTCCTTGCTGAAAATTTATGTCTTACTTGGCATTAAGTGAAAACTGCATTTTGCTGTCGGTGTGCTCGCAATTCCACGTAAATCTCTTTGCAGTTCACTGTCGCTTTTCATAATGGCATTGGAAGTGGAAGTGGAGGAAGATGTGGAGGTGGAGGGAGGAGGGAGGAGCACAACTACGACTGGGATATGAGCATGGCAGTGCATTTATGTGGCTGATTTATGCTGTACACGCTGCTTAAAGGATTCCCTTTGGTCCTTTCGCTTGCCATCTCCAATTTGCAATTCAAGAGAATTCGAATTGCTCAACAAATAGAAACCGACTTGTATTCAATCTTTGATTCATTGAGGGGGCAAATAATTAGGCGATATTTAGTTAATTAAAAAAACAAAAATTAATTGTATTTACGTATAAATAAAATGTATTTAATAAAAAAAGGTTAAATAGGCTAATCAAATCACTTTTCATTTTATTTTCTAAGGAAATTTAATTTTTGTGACTAGTGCATTAATTTATAAGATTCTTTCTTGCCGCACTAGGAACTAATAATAAATAAATAAATTAATACATTAAATTAATTACATTTTTTAAAATTAATTTTTTTTAAATTTATGTGTTGGTACAGGGTATTTAAGAGTTGAGCCCGCTCGACTCTTTCTAGTTTTAAATATGATTTTCTTGGATGTAGGAAAGGAGGCCTATAATCCACCAAACAAAAATATTGTAGCCCATTAAATTATATATTAATGTCTTCAGTTGTCTTTAATAATTAATTAAATTTAAAAAACTATTCGGAATTATACCGGAATTGAATCAGTAAATAATTGCGTTTAAAAAAACTTGGCAATTAAAAAAACGACCTTTATAATGAACCGCCCTCCCATTTAACACTTATATATTTATTATGAGTTTTTAATGAATTTTAAGAATTTATTAAACCATATTTCATGGTTATTGGTTATTTCTGTTTTTACACGGTAGATTGCAATCTACCAATCGAGTGGTCCCTAAAAAAGTCATGTAAAATAAAAACAGTGTAAAAAAGACATTGATCATATGCTAAATGGAATAAAGTCGTGTAACCATATATAATATTTTTTATTTTCAAACCGTGTTAAATCAAAACCGTATAAAAGCAGAATAACGTGTATTTAGTAGATTTTCCAAACAAAAAACCTTTTGGAACAATATGGCGGTATAATTTTTAATGTGTTTTCATTTTCGACAACATATTGTACACTTCTTAAACAACATTCAAAGTTTAGCATAAAAGGTTTAAGATACTGAGCTAGCTTTTATAATATAGGAGATTATTGGTTTAATTTCTGTTTACCCCGCAAAATTTGACCCACAGACTTTATTTATGCTAAAGTAAAGAGATCAGAAAACAATTAATTAGAACAGAACAGTTTCCTTTAAGTATGAAACGCCTTAAACACAAAATAACGAATGAAAGGGCATCTAAGATTCGATATTGTGTAATATTTGTAATATAGTATAGAAATATATTGTACGTATTTATTAGCATCTTTCTCCTCACTTCTCAACATGCGAAAAATATCCCTAAGATCGTATTATAATTAACCACATAATTATCTACAAATTGTCTAAAAAAGTGGGTACATTTTATATACTTTCTGGACCTTCCAAAGAGCAGAAAACTGGTCTTTCTATTAAACAACTTTCTGTCATTTGCTTAGCGGATTTTGTTTGGGAACGAACTCTAAAAACAACAACGGACAACACATTGCCCGATCTAAAAAGAAAAACAAAAAAATTGGCAGACAGATGAAAACTGAAATCCAAAAAGGCCTCAGAGCCCACTTGAGGTGGCCCGCTGCAACAATTTTGCTAGCAATATTATTATTGTGTTTTTTGTTGTTTTTTGCAACGAATGGCATGGAAATTGCACAAGCGATGAGATCTGTGAGAGGAGAAAGACAAAGGTTGGGGCACAACCAACAGCTGAAGTTGAAGTGGTCGCACATTTTCTGAAACAGCGCCAAAAAAACCAACATACAGATACTATAAAGGCAGCTGGAAAGCATCGGACTGGCGATGGCTATGGCGATGGCGATTCGACTTCCTTATTCCCCCAAGGTTGTTTAAAATGCAGGCAGCGAGTGGAGCAGAAACGGGTTTTGTGACCCAAGAGGACTCTACGCACTGCCCTTAAAAGAAACATGTTTGAGTGCTGACCACCTTTTTATTATATTCCTGTGCTTGTTTGTTTGTTTGTTTTTGAAGCGCATCTTCCTGTTGCTGCCTTTGACAGACAGCACGCATGCGCAGACAGAAAAAGGACAGCCAGACAGACAGAGAGAAAGAAAGAAGGAGAGACGGCGAACCTTTCTGGGACCGCAGTGCTTGCAACAGCAATAACAACAATGTTGTATCACCAAAGATGAAGCATCAGCAGGAAAAAAACGCAACACGATTTCCTGATTCATTCATGAATTTCATGACTTTTGTTTTGTCCTCCACTGTTTGGCCTTTCGAATCTGCAGTCTCAGCTTCAGCTTTAGCTTCAACTCCGACTTCAGTCTAAGCTTCGTATATACACTGATAAAAAAACCACGGAAATTTTAATATTTACACGTAGACTTAACTATTTTAAACATCGTGTGTTTTAGGAAATATAAAGGGTGCACACTTAAATTTAAAAATGATATTAAATCACAAGTCATGATGTGGAGACATGGGTTTGATTCACGCCAAAGGTTTAATTTTTATAATTATAAAATATTTTTTCCACTCTCTTTTCAATATTGACATTTCCATGATGCATATTTTATTTCCTACTCACCGTAGGAACGATGTATACACTTTTATACATAGTTTAATAAGCATTAGTGTAC